CACTGCCAAGCCCACTCTGTGCCCCTCTCGGCATATCCCTGCCCTTCTCCTTATTACTTCTTCTGCTACTTCTCCTTACTATGTTGATAGAATCCCACGCGGTGTTGCTGTTGGAGTATCTGCTGTTTATTGCATAACTGCTGGCACTTTGGTGGGGGGAGTGTCCTGGGCTGGGAAGAGGCTCTGACCATCCTGTTTTATCTTTAAAATATATATGGGCTCTCCCTGGTGGCGGAGCAGGTTAAAGCACTGCACTATGAAGCTCTCCCGAAAGTCACTGCAGAAAGTCACTGCAGCACACCCGCTGCCAGAGAGCTCACCCACAGGGCGCAGCAAATCTGTCCTGACCGGCCCCTTTCCTCCTCCCCCCTGCTCCCCTCAGCAGTGTACTTTGTCCATCTGCCTGCTCTGCTCCCGGCTCTGTCTCTGGTGAATCCTCTCAGCCTTCACCCATCTCTGGCATACACCCCATATGTTGTCTGCATAAATAGATAAACCTTTAAAAATATATATATGTATATATATATAGGACCTAGGACAGTGTGCATTTTACTCTACACCACATGTTCAGTGACAAATATTTTCTCATCCCTCCCCCAAAAACCTTTGAATAAAACTGTCAACCCAAAACCTTTGAATAAAACGGTTAAGTCGGGTGTGGGGCTTCGGGCATTGTTTTGAGATGCCCCTTGCTCTGCCTCGTTGCCTCCTCCCCCATCTCAGCTGCTGTCTGGAAAAATGAGCGATCATTCCATTTGTTTTCTGCAATCAAGTTCAACTGGTCACTCTCATGGGTTAATCACGTCAGCATCTGTTAGCTGGCATCAAAGAGCTGGGCCCTGGGGACGCTGCCAGCCAGCACTGTCTTAGAACACAACAGGCTCTAGGGTGAAAACCAGTCTGAGCAACAGAAAAGTAGATTCTGAGAAGTGCCTTGAGAAATAGGCACAACTGTTCAGAACTCCGAGCTTGAGAGCAGAGCTGGTCCCTGGGGTGGGGCTGGGAGGGCCTTTCTGGAATCAGCGCTGGGCTTTGAGTCCTTTGAGGTGAGAGGCAGAGCCCTGGGTTCATTTTTGGAGGAGAGCACTGATAAAATCGCAGAACCTTTTCAAATAGTCTGCAGTAGGTTAAAAGGCACATCCTGCCTGGGGTAACAAATGCGGAGCTCAACCTTTGAACAGAGGAGGCGCAGAGAGGACCTCCCAGCACTGCTTCCAACTCCGGCGGAGGCTCTGGCAGCTCCTTGACTGCAACAGCCTCTAACAGAAGCGAGAAATGGCTTCCTTTTGTCTAGAGAGAAACACAGTATAAGATGATCTATACCTGTGCAGCTGGATCCCAACTGAGCCCACTTCCTTCACAGTCTCTCTTCCCTGACTGAACCCAGGCTCTGAGCCTCACTCTTGCAAGGAGCGGCTGTCTGGAAAGCTGCTCCAAGCAGCCGCTGCAAGGCCCAACACCTGCTTTGATTCTGCTCTTAAATTACTGATTCAAAGGTTTTCTCACTTGAGCCAGGCATTGGTCACTGGCTCTCTCAACACACATTTCTTGAATGCCTAGCTTTGCTTGGTTTGCTCAAGGAAAAGAAAATCAGCCAGTTCCTCTTTCGGGGTGTGGTGGAAGGGACTACACACTCAGCGTCACACAGGAGGTGCTGGGGAAAACCACGGAGCCTCCCAGCTCCGCACCTGGCCTGCCTGCCCATCCCTGGCCTGCTCTGTGTGGCAGGGAGCAGGTCGCCCCATTTCGGGGTCCTTGCTGGGCTGTCACCCCAGAGAACTGTGGTCTCCTTCGCTGCTTCCCAAATCCTCACTTTGATTTTCTAATGAATTCCTGAACCATCACTGAGATGGGTATTATAGTTTATGCCAGACTTAGTTTTCACAAAAATAAGTCAGTCCTAAAGCAAGAGCAGGGGGAAATACAATGACAGTTAAACCCTGTGCAAAATGAAACTTGCACAGAACTCAACAGGTGCCTGCTCCATGTCAGCGCTGCCACAGGCCTTGCGCTCCACACACCAGCAGGGACCCTGTCTCCCAGCAGGGCCAGCCAGCAAGTGCTGGGACACCCAGCCTGGCCTCTGCTGCAGCCCCACAGTCGCCCTGTCAGCCTCACACCTCACACACACACAGGCCACAGCCCTCACTGCCAAGCCCACTCTGTGCCCCTCTCGGCATATCCCTGCAGCTCCAGCCAGCTGTCCAATGAGCCAGACCCTCCCGCACCCACCTACGGGGCACTGAGAACCTAAAGCCGGGCCTTTTGCTGCCCCAGTCAAACCCAGTCGTGTTAGCAGTTCCCCTCAGAAACAGCACAAAGACAGCGGGGATGCCAGCCCCCAGGAGAGCCCCATGCTGGCGCTTCTCCAGCACAGTGATGCTGTGGGTGTCCTTCTCCTGCTGTCAGGTCACCTGAACCACGAGAGGCAGGGGCCAGGGCTTTGCACCCCTCGCCCGCTGCATTGCATGTGCTCACGGAGCTGGCTTTAGGCTGCGTCTGCTCACTGTCCCCTTGCGCACTGAGGTTTCGCCTTCCCTGGCTTTCAGGTGACTATCTCGTGGACTTCTAGACTTGGCTTCTTTAGACTCAACCTGGGCCTGATCCTTCTGAAGCTCTGTGACGGCCCAGCTTTGCTCTTCTGCCCCATTGCAGGCTGCTCAGTTTCAATGCAACAAGCCCCAACCTTTGGCGGCTCTTTGGGGGGACAGTCCACCTTGTCTTTCTGCGGGTGGGAAGTGTGGGTTTCAGTGCTGTATCCATTTTAGAAGTGAAAATGTCACACAAGCTATGAAACTTATTTTAGAAGTGAAAGTGTCATGCAAGCTATGCAACTTCTGTCGACTAACAAATTCTGGGCAGAAAGGGAACACTGAAAAATCAGAGTTTCCATTGCTGACTTATGAACTCGCTTTTTTGTATAATCATAATATCAAAAATACTGTAGCAACATCAGTTTGTAACTGGCTTGCCTTAGCTCCAAATTGGCTACCTGGCCTGGGCAAAGTATGAGCTGAGCTGCTCCAGGGCAGGAAATTCCTCTGTCTGAAGACGAAAAGGCAAGCTCCTGGAGAGATAAGACCCTGGGGAACATCAACAGTCCTGGGAAGCTTCCTTTGTCTTTTGAAACAAAAAGCGAATCTTAGGTAACTCCCAGGACATAAGGACCCATGCACAATTTCCTAACATTTTCGACACAGGTTTTACTTCATGCATAACTATGTGACTTTCTCTTAATTTACTCTTTTTCCTAAAACAATCACTAACTACTCTCGGCTAGTCTTAATTAACCTTTTCCTAAAACAAACACTAGCTACTCTGCTAACCTTAAGTTAGCCACTAGCTTCTCTTTAGACAATCACTGACGACTCTGCTAACACAGTCTATTCCTTCCCTAGGACTCCTAAGTTCCTTGCTAAGAGCTCATCCTTTCCCAGACCCCTTATCCTTTGAAGTCACAGTTAAACATCCGTATAAATAAGATGTATAGTCTACTATGCCATAAGGTAGCAGGAAGAGAAAGCATTGTTCCCCTCTTCCTTTAGAACTTTTATGCTGATTTCTTATTAACTTACCCGATGCATTATTGTAACTAAATCTTGCTAAACAGTATAAATAAAGACCTGCAAATAGATAAGCAGGAAGACTTGCTCCCAACTCCGAGTCCCGAGTCCCGTGTCGCCGTCAGCCGCACCCACCTTCGCACCCTGCCTGTTTTACCCCTTGATAATCCGTGATCGGCTGGTCCCCGACCAAAGCGGGCCTTGGGTTTTCCACTCATGAGAAAGCTGCGGATAATCTTTGCTCGTTCCGGCCCCCTCCACGCCTCCCGTCTCCCGTTCTGGCTCATTCTGCGACTTCCCTCCTGCTCTCCAGTGAAATCACCACTCTCCCTAACACGTGCTTTTTCCCTCAGAAGGGCTCATATGTTCTCCCTGCTGCCTAAGGCCCAGTTACAGCGCAGGTGGTGGGTCCCAGTCAGCAGTGTCGGGGTGCTGGGGGCCAATGCGGGGGAGTCCCTTCCTGGAGGGAGGCTGGAGTTTGCCCTGGGGTAGAGCTGTGTATTTGGAGAGGAACAGAAAATGACATTCATCTTGGAGATGAAGCGACTGGTCTTGTTGGGGGAGATGGGAGGAACCCCAAGTAGCTGCCTGCCTGGGGGAGGGTGCAGCTCATCGACAGCCTGGCTACATAGGACTGGGGACACCCACGGAGCTCAGAGCACGGGGGAGCAGGAGGGACCCAGCCAGGAGAGGGAGGGAACAGCTTCCTAAACAGAAAGTGAGCTGAGAGCTTCTGCCTGCACAGTGGAGACAGCAGTGCAGGTGGGAAAGTCGTCCCCGCTCGAGGCCTGGGGGCCAGGAGGTGGGGGCACTGAGCCTTCTGCTCGGCTCCAACACAGGTGTCTGGTAGCAGACATTTAACAGCCTTGTGTGGTGAAACCTACATCTCAACGTGCAAGCAACATCCTGACCACTTTGTCTGGTTACAGTTCCCAGCATCAAGCAAGTTCTGCGGCCTTCACCTCAGGCCACATTTTTTTTTAAGGATTTATTTCTCCGTACAAACACAACAGCTGGGGTGCAAGTCAGACATGTAAGGGATGAGAGCACTCCCCAAGACAGACTAGGGAGCAGAACAGGCAGGTGCAATGAAATCCACTGCTGAGGGGAGCAGCGGGGAGACAGGAGGGGTCACTCTGGCCAGGGATCGAACTGGTGCTGCAGTGGCTGCATATTTCTATGCTTTAACCTGTTGCACCACCAGGGAAGGCCCTCCAGCCACATCTTGTCTCACAAAAGCAAAATTCTGTCCCATGAACCCCCCCAACCCTAGCACCCACCCACCCACTTTCTGTCCGTAGGGTCTTGCCGGTCTGCGACCCCTCAAACGCAACCCTGCAGCACGAGCCTCCCCGTGTGACTCCTCGGGGCTCGTCCAGACACAGCACGCATGGGCGCTGCCTTCCTGTGAAGGCTGACTGATCGGCCGCAGCAAAGAAGCAGGGACTCTGGCTTGCAGCCCCGAATAATTGCTATGTGGACTTTTAGGGCCAGTTTCCCGCACTGGTCCTGCCTGGCCGCCCTTGGAGCCAGTGCCGGCTTCTTGGTCTGGCCTCTCCCACGACCAGCTTGCTTTGGCTGCTGCCCCCAGACATTTTTATATTCCGTCCTGCATTCCTAGTTGAGTCCAGAGAGGGGTCACCTGCCATGCTGGGCCTCGGCCCCTGAACACATTCCTTTGCCTGAATCCAGTGTGGTCAGTTTCTGTCCAATGCTGTAAGAACCCTGGTGGCAACATTCTTTTTTATTGAGAAATAGAAAATAAAAGCTCACGGTACTGGGTCTTGACATAAATCCTTGGGTATTTTGGATGCTTTATGCGGCTAGAAAACTGGCAGCGAGATCCCAGGCTGGGCGGGGGAGCAGGTGACAGGGTGGGGAGGCAGCTGCTGCCCTCGGGGGTGGGGCTGGTCTGACCCTGAGCCCGTGCAAGTTCACAGGTGCCAACCCGACCTGCACTGGGAAGGGTGGGCCCCACCCCTCGGAATGCAGACACCCCACACCAGCCGGGGGACCTCGGCAGCTGAGGTGTGTGTGTTGGTAGGGTGGGCGGTTTGGGGATGTGCCTCTGGGCGGGGTCCCACGACAGGGGCTCACACTCATCTCTTCAGGGGACAGAACCAGCTTTGTCCATGCCAGTCTGAAACGGGCATGCACCCCTCAGTGTAGCGGCCAGCATCCCCGAGGGCCACGCTCGAAGCCAGCCACTGGCGCCTGGAGCTCTCCCGCCCAGGGTGCCCGGTGTCTGCTTATCTCCACATATGTGCGTGTCATCTACGCGCCCATGTGTCCCTCAGCCAGGCCCGTGTGAGCCTCTGCAGGCCGGGGGCCACAGCTCCTGTCCCCAGCCTCATCTCAGTTCTGGCAGCACAGATTCAAAAGGAAGGGGGAGGCACCCTGAAGCAAAAGTGCTCCCCAAAGCCGTGGGCCCTGAGCAAAGGTGAAGGTGGGAAGCTGCGGGTGGGAATAGGGTGTATGAAGACTGAAAGCCAGGCCTGGGGCCCTCCCTGGGGGTGCAACAGGTGAGCTGTGAAGCTGTCTGCAGCCAAGTTCGATCAGGCCTGGAAGTGACCCCGAGGGCACAGCAGCCCTCTCTGTCTTCCTGCGGCTCCCTTCGCGGTGTGTGTCACTCATTCTGCCTGTTCTGCTGCCTACTCTGTCTCTGGGGAGCCCTCTCACCCCCGCACCTCTGCCCTGTACCCCAGTTCTTGTGTGCACCAATAAATACATCTTAAACAAACAAACCCAGGTGTGCATGCAGCTGCCTCCCAGCTTATTTAATAAACTGCCACCTGCCATAGTTTCGAAGCTGAGGGTACCCTGATGCACCCCGGGAGCCCCTTCTCTCTCTGACAGGACTACGCGTCCGCTTTTTTTTAAATGCTAGGAGAATCCCCTTGCCCCATGCCCTTCCTGACACACACCCACCATCCACCAAAACCACACTCGCTCAAAGGTGGAAAACAATATATTAATTTATTTCCAAGAAAAACAACACCGAACTGCAAAGCAAACAAAGATTCAGTAGTTTCAGGTCCTCCCTCCAGCCTCACCTGATGCTTCAGAGTTACAGTATTTAAGACAAGGAGGGCAGGTCACAGTGTGTAAACAGCCCTGTGGGGAAGTCTCCATTCTGCCTGAGGGAGACCCCCCCTGGGGCGCCCTTCTTGGGTGGGGAGCTCTGGAAAAAGAAGCTTTCAGACTTCCCAGGGGGGGGTTGTTCCCTACCCCTCCAGCCTCTGCCCCCCGCCCCCCACACGTTTCCACCCTTCGCAAAATCAGGAGAAATGGCTTGACCTCAATTTCCTTTCAATACGATTCACTGTCAACGGGTACAAGTACAGACAATAAAATGTGTTACATAAAGGAGTCGGGAGTTGAAGCAGCTGTCCTCATCGGAATAAATAAATACTACGGGGTGCAGTGGTTTAGCGGGGCACTAAGGGGCTTCCCTGTGCACTCGGGACTGTCCCTGGTGGCTGCCCCCCTGGGGTGCACCTCAAGGCACCAGACTGGCTGCCGCTTTCACACTAAGCCGGATCTCAGCCAGCAAACAGAGTCAGAAGGCCGGTTTCAGAGAGAGAGCTGGCCCCCGATACACAGGGCCTTGTCTTATCTGCAAACGGGGTGCCGGTGCAGGAGACAGCGAGTGCGAGGCTTATCAGCGTGAGGGGCGGCGGGATGCGGGGGCGGTGAGGGATGCAGTGACGAGGCTGGGTGCCACCCCATGTCGCTGACTGCACCCTATGCCCAGTGCGTCCCACCTCAGGGACAACCCAGGCGGCCCCAGCTTCCACATGACCCCCAAATGCTCAGTGCAAGAAGCCACGTCCATGGAGCCCATGCGGGGGGCCTGGGCTGGGGTCACAACACGTGCACCCACAGGCTCAGCCAGGGACCCCGAGGAGACAAGCTGGTGGGTGCCGCCTCTCTAGGACACGGCAGGGTGAACTGTGTCCCCTGTGCGGGCAGTGACACGGGGCCTGTC